CACTGATGCTACTGACAGGTAGTGCATGCTAAAAGTTAAAATGTCTCTGTAAATGTCATTCAATATGAAGGGACAGGCTCAATAATTGCCATTGTCTGTATTCACTGAGCAATGCATATGCTTAAAAACCTGCATTGATGTATTAGTTGACTCAGGCGCAGGGCAAAGCACAGTGACGGTTTCCACAGTGTGTTCTTGGTTTCTGTATGGTGCCAGTTCTTTTCCATAATACTGTCTCATCTGTGCTTATCATCATCCTTGGATCATAGTTCCTTGCTCTGGGCCACTTTAGGGATAAGTAAGTTGCTGAGTAGTGGTGGAGAAGGGATTTTTTGCCAGTTTCAGCATTGTGTTTTTTAAACCTTGAATATGTACTCTTTTTTTTTTTTTTCTTGTCAAAGAGTATGCCACTTTTATGAACTGACTGACTGGTTTGATTCTTTGCCATCTTACCAGTACACGCTTGTTTTGGTTACAACCTGGAACTGGAATGGACTTGGGATTATATATCATTAATCTATGCATAATAGTCCATAATATTGAAATCAGAAGATAAATTCAATATAGTATGCAAATTTATTTAGAAATAAAAAAAAGTATGGAGCACACCCTCAACTCTACCAAGAGCAAGCCGTCCAGCAAAGGTTAGTGAGCGAGTAAGGAGGGGAATTATTCAGAGAAACAATGAAGAGGCAGAGGATAACGCCGGAGGAGCTGGAGAGAGCCAAAGCTCAGATGGGAGAAGCTGTTCACAGGACAGCCAGGACATTCTACAGCGCTGGGCTTTATAGAAGAGTAGTCTGAAGAAAGCCATTATTGGGGGGGGAAAGGCCAGATGAAATCCTCTTCGTAGACAGGATGGCAAACATGAGGAAACGGGTTCTCTGGCCTGATGAGCCCGAAATGTAACTTTCTGGCCTTGGCACTAAGTTTGGTGGAAAATCCAATACAGCTCATCACTTTGAGAACATCATCCCTACAGTGAAGCATCATGTTGTGGGGCTAGTAGAGACGTATCCCAGGATACTTGTAATTGCAGCCAAACGTGGCACTATCAAGTACTGGCCCAGGGGCGTTAATACTTGTGCAACCAAATGAATTTGCAATTTGTCGATTTACACATTAAAGTGTTGACACATTGTTACATATTGTGTAAATCAAATGGTAAACATCACCATCAAGTCTGTTTCAGATTGTAACACTACAAAATGTGGAAAAGGTGGTGAATGACTATGCAAGGCACTACATGTAAGAGTTTTCAGAATTCTAGGATTGTCGCTGATTTTGCTGTGTTTAACTTTGCTACTCTTAGCACCATTTTTTAACCCAAAATATAAGGTGTTTTTAGTGAGTACAGTCTCCAAATAATTTAATTGTAACTGACATTATTTGGACATTACATTATATTGAAACAATTTAAATTAGTCTTCCACTCTTTCAGACCCAAAAGTCTCACTCAGAATATTATTATTTTTTTTTTTAACATAGAAAGTGGCTATTTTCCACACCGCTGTTTTATTTTTTAATATTTTAGTGTACACAATGTAGATATATACATACTCTCTCTGTGTGTGTGTGTGTGTGTATGTATTATTTATATATATATATATATATATATATATATATATATATATAATTATTATTATATAATAATACACACACATTATATATATATATATATATATATATATATATATATATATATATATATATATATATATATATATATAT